CTCTCTCGCGTTTTCTCTCTCCTCTTTTTTTCCTCCCATAGTGTATATTTTTTCTCTCTCTCTGTATTTTATATATATATATATATATATATATATATATATATATATATATATATATATATATATATATATATATATATATCTTTTCCTTAAATACTCCGCAAAGTCATCTGTTGGCTGTATGCGACTGGGTTCATAACAAATCATTACATACTTTTAGAGTCAGGTAAACACAAGCTCTTTGACATTTCCCAGTATAATTGACACACTATCTACTTACAAAAACATATATATATATATGGCCTTTTTTTTTAAATCAAATGACAAGAATTATCTTACCTGGACCAAACAACGTGAGCACAACCAACAGTACCACCACCGTGCTGTGGCTAAACATGATGCGGCTGCTGTCCAACTGAGCTGTAGAGTCAGATCTCTTTCCTGCTTTAGGGAGAGAAAGAAGTTCTTGCATTGCTCATGTAGGCAACACATCGATTTTGCATAATGATGTGGCTTCCAGCGACCTTCTTGCGTAGGAAAGAAAGACAACAGTCTTAAAAGCATGACCTGATTGTGAATGTACACTTTTAGTCACTATGGTAATCATTATTGGTATACTGTTTAGTAACTTCTGTTTTTTGGGGGCTTTGGGGCGTTTAGAGCTGAAAATGTGGACGTCTACGAAAGCACATTCATTCAAATGTCTTCTGAATGGGGCTGGTTTTATTATTATTATTATTTACTGACCTGATAAATAGAGGGATACATGCATTGGGGAAAAAAGTTGTTTTATTTATGCAGATCAGTTTGTTTTTATTCCTTTTAATTTTGAGTGAGTGGACCTGATTGTTAGGCTGTGAAATTGGAGAGAAAAGAAACCAGCACTATTAGAGAAAAAGAAAAAGAAAAGTTGCTCTCAAAATTACTTCTGAGTGGTTTCATGTGAAGAAAACTAAACAGAAATTAAACAGATAACAGAGATGAGATGAGAGAGCGAGAAGTCTACTGGGAGATTTAGGTAGATTGAATCCTTAGAATTAGTTGCATGATGACAACAAACATGCTTTGAGTTTTAAAAGCGCGGTCACCATCCGACTGCTGAAATGTTTGATTTTTCTAAGTACAAAACTAAGTTGCATATTTTTGAAGAAAAAGATTTTACACAGAATGTTTTACCATCCTGTCTTGCATATTTTAGAAGTAAAAATAAACAACAAGAGTCAAATAACCAATGCACTATTTTGTACAGGTATTGTATCCTAAATACTTTGCCCTGGACTGCCATTTCCATAAATTTGCAATGGATGAAAAACCACTTTTTAAAAATGTCAGTGCAAGTTAACTTGTAATTGACTCAAATAGCGTATGCCTCATGATGAATCAGACCGACTCAGTGAGCTGTAATATGGCTGGTCATAATTTATTCACCAGCGCTTCTGTGGTATCACTCGCCAGATTCAACAAGCTCTGTTGACATTTCGTGATCAAAGCTACGGGCTTCTAAGGGGAGACTCTGTGTCTGTCATTCACCCTCAAAGGTAACATTATTCTGATGTTATCATGTCATAAGACAGCGAATAAAAATATAATTTATTTCAAAGTGTGGTTTGTGGAACTTGAGGTGAAATCTAACCCATGGAACTACAGGAATGAAGAAATGCTTAGAATCGAGTTGCAAAAGAAAAGGAGTTCAGGCCGAACGGGGCAGATTTTATAAATTACAAGGACAGAGAAAGTGTTGTTCTCTCAGGTCGGGAACCAAACCTCAATCACTTTTTATTAGAAAAAGTATTATGTAGTCGAGCGTATTGATAGCTCACAATTCAAAAATGATTTGTGATTTCAAAGGAAGTTAAACGTTGTCGCTAGTTATCCAAGACTCTTCAGGGAGTAGATGTTGATGACTGTGAGCAGGAAGGATCTCCTGCAGCAGTCTGTGTTACTACGATGCTGAAGAAGCCTCTAACTGAAGACATCAATGTTGTACAAAAGACTGATGAAGTGAATCCTCAGGGTCAGCCAGAATGTTTTTTTTTTGTTTGTTTTATGATGAATCCTCCGTGGCACAATCATTTCCAGAGATTTCACAGTGAAACCATCACCATGGATAAACTATTTAAGTTTAACCATGGTTAAGTAGGCTTTGATGCTGCTACTTAAATAGATGATTGACTAAGAGATCACACTGTCCAACAACCACTTCCCACATTGTGAATGTCAGAAGTATCTTGTGAAAAAACAAAGAACCTACATTTCTCCAAGAAGTCTTCTTCTTAAAAATGGCTTCACTGTTTTGTCTCCAGTCCAGTCTGTTGTCCAGGTGAACACCAAGGTATTTAAACTCCTCCACCACCTCTGCTTCTTCTCCCTTGACGTACCTGGTGTTTGGTCGACAATTATCTCATTTTTGTTCACACTGAGGACGAGGTGATTGCTTCACACCACGCCACAGCACGGTTCACCAGCTCTCAGTTCTCAAGAGCTTGACCGTCTCTCATACACCCAACCATTACGGAGTCATTTGAGTATTTCTGCAGATGTCAGGAGTCTGACTTGCACTGGAAGACTGAGGGGTGCAGAGTGAAAAGAAATGGTGAGAGTACAGACCCTGCTGCTGCTCCTGTACTGCGGACCACCTAGTTTGACACACAGCTTGACACAGTTCAGCCTCAAACTGTTTGTCAGGTAGTGATTGATCCAGTTGGATGTCAAGGCCTCCACCTCTGTCTCTTGGAGATTTAGACAAAGAAGATCAGGCTGAATTGCATTAAATGCACTGGATAAATCAAATAACTTGATCCTCACGGTGCTGCTTGCTGTGTCCAGATGACAGTGGGTTTGTTGAAACGGTTATATGATGGCATCTTCAACTCTGCCTCCACATAATTCTTTGCTTACCCAGTTACAATTAGGCTCTACATGGTCTTCATATTGTGGGACATAAGGGCAACAGCTCTGATTTATTTGGTACTGGATCCAGCCAGGATGTCGTTCACAACATTGGAACCTTTTTCTGGGTCAACTTAAGGTGATGTAAAATCCCACAGAGCTCCTCTGCACAGGCCTTCAGGACTCTGGGGCGCTCATTCCATCTCGACATGCAGCCTCGGCCTGCAGTTCAGTTTCTCCAGGGAGCAAAGCGATCACCACCATCTCCTGATTTGAAGACAAACATGTAGACGCAGAAGGATCCGTGGCTCACGGAAAGTCCTTTCACTTCCAGGGGTCTCAATTTCCTTTTCTTGTGGGGAAACCGTCCTGCAACTTTTCCACGCATCTCTGCTTCAACACACCCAAATCAAGCAACAATTAGGTCATAAGGAGGAATCTGAAACCATGCATCTTTTCTTTCCACAAAGTTGCTTGTTGAGGTCTATCACGTCAAAGACTCTGACAGTATCATGGGAAAAACAATCCAAGGAGTATGGATACCTTAGCACTGGCTGGACGATGAACGTGTGATATACTTCAGATCTACGTAACCAGAAGATCTGAAGTATTGAGGCCACTGTTGGCTGTAACTTCCTTTTCATCTTTTTGGCAGTATGATCAAACGTGAAGGAATGCATCTTACTAACCACAGTGTATGAATATGTTTTTTACATCGCTTCCTATGTCTAGACACAAGTATTTTCCCTTTATATCTTTCTCATAAACCTTTATGTAATTGTTTTAGTGAAGCAAAAAAAAAAAAAAAAAAAAAAACGGTTTTAATGTGTTTAAAAAAGAAGAAAGGAGGGGGCAAAAGGAGTTGTGTAAGCAGGTTTTAGGACATGAGCGCCTGGAGTCCAGGGCTGTAATGGGAATCACAGAAGGACTTCCAAAGAGAAGCTTGTTTGGTAGAACAGGGGTCTTTACCGCTGGCCCATCCCTTTTATTAGGAACACGGGGCTGTCGAGAGTGGCTGGTTTATCCATTGGACATACCAAAAAGGTAAAAGGAAATGTGATAGTGGCTATTAATCAAAGCAAAATTACATATTTATTAAGAAGAAAGAATGATAACAATAAAACCAATGGACAGAGAAACAGAACTTCCCAGAACAGTTTCAATAGATCAAGCCGTGTCTGTGACTGAAAACGCACATGTTGGACGACCTGTGCTGACGTGATACCGACTGGATTATTTTGCAATCGTCCTGATATCATCTGAGCTTTATCTCTTCTCAAAAATGACCCCAGCTTCAAAAGTTGACTATAAAAAAACAAATTACAGCATCTGTGGAGTTATCGCCACTGAACTAACCTAGAAGGCATAAAAAGCAGAGGCAAAATAAACACTTATCTCATATTGACGAAATGATTATGGTTAACTTACAACCACCTGCAAAAGATAGCAAACCTGCCGTTCTGAGAATCATAAAATCTAAAAAGTTACATTACGCTTCATTGCGTAATAACCTCCCCATGATTTTATTCAATGAGATTTTACGCAGTGAGTAAATGCTCATGTGACTTGGTTCTTTAGTGAATAAAATGCAAATACTTTACTACACAAACGTTTCATAGTTTTCTTCCAAATAATATTCCACGAAATCGGGAAAACACTCGGCTTCAACAACTACCTCTGCGGACGGCCAAGTAACTGCGAATGTGATAATTCTACACAGAACTCTATAATGTTTCTATAATTTACAACGTTTGACAGAATGAGCTAATTTGCTGCCCTCATTTCAGCCTTGATCTCGACACTCATCAGAGTTCAGCTGCAAAGGAAGCGGCTCAAACAACTTGAGCACGTATGCATGTGGTTAAACTGAACGTAGTGCAGCAACTTATCAGCATAAAGATGAACAGATATAGCAGCAATTTTTCAAGATTCGAAAATCTAGGAATCCTTAATGTGGATTGTTGCATATTTGCTCGTTAACTAAATAAGATGAATCGTATGACGAAATCTGGCGCCTGGTAATGTTGCAAACAAAAGATAAGTAGAAATTCTTATGAAGAGGCTGAAACAAACATACCACAATATCTATATTAATAAAAGCAGTAAAATGATCACGTCTATTGCAAAGAGAGCTTGATGTGTAACGTGCTCTAGGTGGAATAAGGCTCTGAGCTGAAGAAATCCACACATTCACACTCCAATTTGTGCATCGGCTGGAAGACCAAAATATTTTTCCTTCTTTTTCCAGGATGCTTTCCGAATGCGAATGCAAAGTATACCTACTAAACCATCAAAGAGAAGTGCTGACAACATATTTAGTAACAAGTGTGGAGGAAGGTGAGGACCAATGAGTCACTGCTCAATGTAAGAAAAAACAACTAAGTGGTCAGAGAAAAAAAAAAAAATAATTTAAACATGAGTCTGTCTAAAAATACTAAGATCAGAGATGAGAGTACAGTATGCAGTGCCATCTTAATAATTTCCCTTGGGTGGCCCACACACATTTGAAGCACTGTGCAGAAACAAGTCTCATATAGAGC